AACAAAACAAAAAAAACAAAAAACCAACCAAACAAGTAAATAAATATTTATTTGTTATACATATACATATGTATATATTTATGTTTTAATCAGAAACAGTTCCATAGTGAAGAGGTGCCCACTCTGGTAAACACTAGAGTCTAAATGCATCCCAATTGTAGAATGTGGCCAAACCCATGCTCAGGCCCTCCCAGGTCTACAGTAAATTGCTTAGGTTCAAGGACACCATCAATATATGATTTCAGTGCAACCTCTTCATGTCCATTACCTGTACTAGGTTATACAGCTGTGAACAATGGCATCAGATGGCACTGGTTGCCCAGGAAATGATAGAACCTGTGGGGCTTGSCATGCTAAAGTAATTTTTCTGGGTATTTTGGGTGATGCATTTGGGGCGGCGTGACTTAGTCATCCCTAATCCAAAGTTATCTGAGACTTGATGAGACATCATCTGGTTATCTTCCCTAACACTATCATGTATGGAGACTCAAGAATCTATGCATACAAAGAAGTCTCTAATGCCTGATGGTATGTTGTGTTGTTGCTAAAAATGTATCCTTTGCAGATATCAGTATTCTGTTATTTCCACAAGGTTTATGTGTCAGGGGCTCTCTGATGTCACACCTCCATGTAAATCTATACMATCTTTATTTTCAATCACTACCACATGTACTATTTCCAAGTCATGTCAGACTGGTTATATAGTCCTTACAATACATGATRGGAAGTCAAGCTCCTAGGCTGTTATTCAAACTGCTCCTTCTATCTGGAATACTTTTTTCTTTTTGTCTTTCTTAAGTCTCATCTGAAACAGCTTCTTCACTATGAAACTGTTTCTGATTAAAATTTCCAATTATTGATCATTTGCTTTGTGTTCCTACCAAATATCCCATAATTCAATATGACAACACTACATTCTCGTTGATTTGCAAGCTTGCTTCTCAGCCAGACTGATATCTTCACCCTCTCTTCACCCTCTTATTTTCCTTCCCCCTCCTCTTCTCTCCTTTTCTTCTTTCCTCTCTCTCCTCCTCCTCTTCCTCCTCTTCTTCTGTTCTGGGGATTGAACCCAGGAATAGTGTACCACTACTGAGTTACACCCCCAGTCTCTTTTTAATTTTCATTTTGAGACAGGGTTTCACTAAGTTGCCAAGGATGTCCTCCGACTTGAGACCCTCCTGCCTCAGCTTCCTGAGTTGCTGGGATTACAGGCAGGTATCACTGTGCTCAGCCAGACTTTGATCTTAATGATACAGCCCATGTCCTACTACATCTTGTGATTCTAGTCTATGCTGGGGCTAAGACATAAGAGGTACTCAGAAGTTACTGCATAATAAAAGAACAAATGGTCACGGTCATTATCTCTCATCATATCACTTCTATTTCTTTAACATTATTGATTAAAAATTTAAAAAAACACAGCAACATATGGAAGAGTCTATTCTGAAATTGCTGATATTCTTTAACTTAACACACTGAGCAATAAAGACCAAAATAAGTAAATAAAAATATACAGCAAGGGGCTGGGCTTGTGGCTCAGCAGTAGAGCACTTGCCTAGCATGTGCGAGGTGCTGGGTTCCATCCTCAGCACCACATAAAAAAATAAATAAATAAAATAAAGGTATTGTGTCCAACTACAACTAAAAAATTTTAAAAAATGTACAGCAAGTGGAAATCATGACAATAATAATGATTTGTAGAAAATGCTTTTACTAACTTGATAACTCACAAAAAAAACTGTTAAAATGAATAATTGTATTAGGATAAAGATTCCTAGATATCAGTTGAAATTAATTATGTCAGAGCCAAAATGATTTTATTTACAAAAGCAATAAAAAGGATACTTAGATAATTTAAATTTATGTAATTATGAGGTGAACCATTACATTTTGACTGATAGATATTTTTTAAAAAAAATATCAAAATCTATGTTTCTGGAAGGAAACTGTGAATACTAATACTTTTTTCTTRGGGCTGTGGTTATGGTTGTATATAAGTAGTTCTATAACCTATCTGTAAAAATAAATGGAAAAAAATTTAAAGAGGGAGAAAATTGAAATCTCAGAAAAACTTTTATAATGCTATAATTKTTAATAGAGTACTTCTGGCTCCTAGAGACAGGCAGATCAGCAGAACACCATCTATTTTCCACATCTCTATCATGTGTCTCTGACATAACTCGAAGCTGTCATAATAATTAAATATTAATTATTTAATTATTATGTAAATAATTACACTACCTGGTAAAAAGCACTACAAAACAATGGGTAAGGAGGGATGTTCCTCAAAACAGGCTTTCAAAGAATTGACTACATAGAAAAAGAATGCAAGTGGGGTTACATCAACCACCAGGCCACAGAATAAATTCCAGTTGGATTCAGATATTTAAAAACAAATTAAAAGTAAAATGTAAAKGTATGTCTAGTTTCTGGATAAGAAAATACAAAAAATAGAAATCTAGTATTTATGCAAACAGAAAAATAATTTAGTCAAAGAAAAGATGACTTGACTGTGGCAAAATTGTTTTTTGACTCTTATACCTAACTTTTCTCAACATTAAATACTGAATTCCTGAAAAATCATATTTGGGCTTAAGGTTTTCCTGACCTGAGCCAAATCTATATGGAAACAATTGGAGAGACCTAGTATGTTTCTGAACAAGAGAACATGAAAGAGGCCAATTTCTCAGAAATTCCTCTACAGACTTAAATGCAGTCATAACACTTGATTGATAACAATTTCAAAAATTGCCTGTAAGAAAAAACAGAATACAGAGGAAAGCCCCCMAAACTGTATTAGAGATCCTCTATCAGATATTATAGCAGCATAATACAATTTATATTAATTAAACACAAATTATTTTCGATGAAAGAATAGACAAATCAATGAAGCAGGAAAAGAGGTCGAGAAACACAACACATCCAGACACGTTAATTATTTGATATATAATCAAGTTAGAAGTTTCTGGAAAGTCATTTGGCAATATTTGTTAAATGTATTAAATATTCATATACTTATTCCTACTAATTCTAAAAATTTAAATTTATCCTAAAGAAATTAGCAGATGAGGAAGACAGTTTATCCAAAGGTTTTCCTCCTATCTTATTTATTATCAAAACAAATGTATATACAATAAAATTGTTGCAAAGCATGAATACACAGACTAGAATAATATGCTCTTAAGTAACTAAAAAAAGGATGTGAAAAATATATACATTTATCTAAATGGAAATCAAATTAAGATGAGATATTATAATGCCAAAAYTTCAGTTTAAAAAGCAAAAAAGAAAGAGAAATATTTGATAGAAATAGACCAAAATATMTGCAGCTGTTACCACTGGCATTTTGCTTTGTTTTGTTTTTCTTTCTGATCCCTAGATTTTGTACAGGGTACTATCTAAATAAACATCATTTTACATGAGCGGTGTGTGTGGGATCTTTTAAGTTCTTACAGAAGGGTCTTCCTTCTATATATCACCAGATCCCTCCTTACAGTTGTCACATTGCAATGTTCACTTCAAACAATGGGTGCTTCTGTGTTCAGTTTCCGACAAGAAGCTAAAACCTGTTGTGCATTTTGATCAAACATGCATTTGAACTTACTGTTCTCTGTACTTTAGTATCATGTATAAGGAGACACCAACCAAGAAGAGAGCAAGTACTGAACCTGCCACGATACCTAGGGGAAAAAAACAGTGACCATCAAATGCCAGGAAGACATGACCTATACCGTTATGGACTGATTGTGGGGCTTACGCTGAGTGTTTTGTGCTTAAGAAGTATTAAAAAGTTTTATATTTAAATTTTCTCAACCATAAACATTGAGTTCCTGAATAAATCATAACTGGGCCTAATGTTTTCCTGATTTGAGCCAGTCCACGTTTTATCTAAAACAGCAAGCATGATATCACAGGGTTCCAGTCAACTTTCTATTGGTTTTTGTTTGTTTCTTTTGGTTTTATTAGTAACATTGTCACTGAGGTGAAATTTGGAGTCCAGGACACCAGGATGCCATGATTTTTGCATAACAACATTTGACTCTCAGTTCTATTTTGCTAGAGCAGAATTTTTTTTCAAAAGTACCAAATCATGCAAAAGACCAAGGGGTAATGAAAGCAAAACTTTCATTTTAAAAAGCAGCAATAGTTGGCTATTTAAATTACTTATGCAACTCTATCCAAAGGGATATTTTGTAATATGACATACACATTAAAATAGGATCGTATCCAATAAATTGAAATGAAAAAATATTAACGGACTATAGGGCATCTAATTTTGTAAGTATTTATAAAAGACAATAAGAGATTTTCTTCAAGTATTTAAGAAAACTTACCAGAAAGAAGAGGAGCAAATGAACCTAAGAAGAATATAAAATCATGAAAATATCAGTCTACTGGTATAATTCCATGTGACCCAAGTCCCATTAACCTCTGGCAACGTACCAGAAGTCAGCTCCCTTCCAAGTCTATTTATTATAGATTGGATTCCTGAGTTGGACCCACTCTTTTATCATGTGACAATTCACTGGATTTTTTTTTCACCTAAATTAGGTAGGTTGGGAAATTCACCAACAAGTAACAAAACAATATACTCAACTTTGTTATTAACGATTTCTCAGAATTGAATGCAAACATGAACAGTTCTAACAGGTTGGTTAACATGTTTTTGGAGCTYTTGTCAAATTGGCAAGCACTTATAAATAGAAATTAAGCAAGGAGGGAAATCACTGCTACAACTCTTTTCCAAATGGAAGGCTGTTAGTTTGCATTTTGCTCCTCTTAATGTTTCCCTCTTTTTCTTTTATTTATGCATTTATTCATGCATCCTCAGAAATCTGTGCTTTTTCTAGAATAGACCACTGGCTTCAAGTTCATTGTATTGTACCACTGGTCACAGACCTATGTCAATTGAAAGCCCTTCAGTCTCCAACATTGAGGCAGACACCTCATGCTCTCTCTCCATGGACCAGATGCAAGTAGCATGAAGCTTTATCACTTACGGGATGTACAGACAGCCAGGGGAGGGTTCCACTGGTGGTCGCCTTGGCACTGGCTCTGGGGGCTGCCCTCCAGGGTATAACCATCTTCACACTCCATAGTTACGACAGCTCCATACTGATACATCTTCCCAGGCTCCAGTCCATTCTGGATTCCATTCATATTCTCGGTGAAGTTACAGTTTACYTCTGCAATTAAAGGAATCAGACTGAAGTGGAGTCATACTTTGTTCCTTTACTAAGAAAGAAGCAACCCCCTTTTTTTTWAAAAAAAATATTTTTTTAGTTATACATGGACACAGTATCTTTATTTTATTTATTTTTATGTGGTGCTGAGGATTGAACCCAGTGCCTCACATGTGAGAGGTAAGCACTCTGCCACTGAGCCACAGCCTCCCAGCCCCAAGAAGCAACTCCTTTTAATGGAAAGGTTATGAAACCAACTTATTTCATTGTCAGTAAGCAACACTTCATTGAAATAGCAAACAGCAATATTTCAGGTATAGTCTCTTAGGGTCAGCTGTCAGTCTTAATAATCACCAGGTAATTTAAGTCAGATTGTTTTCTTTCTTTTTGCTTCCATATGGGATCATTCTAAAGGCTTCTTAGAGAAACGATGAAGGCTGAATGGGTAATATTAAATATTTTGAATTATTGGCTTATTTTCCTACTCCCCTTCTTACTCTCTAATTCATACTGGTATGTTTTCTCATTTTTCTTTCACCTTTCCAGTGTAGAGGTCAATAGTGTAAAATCAGATTTGAATTCTGATTCTCCTACTTACTAGTTGCCTGACTTTGAGTAAGTTATAAATCTCTCCAACTCACTGGAACCTCATCTATAAAACAGGGATAATAATGGCCCCAAACTTCTATGGATCTCAGGAAGATGGATCTCATGAGGTTGTGCATGTAAAGTGCTCTGCACAGTGTCTGGCATAGAGTAAAATGTGTTCAGCAACATTAGATATTAATTTACTATTCATACTTCATATACAATGTTTTTGATAGAGAAGATGACTTTCTGAAGATTTTATAAAAAAATTTACCCATAATCCCATGACCACCCAGAGGAAATATGCTCAAAAGACCATCATATTTTTTATTGGTATTTTATCAAATGATTTTATCATAACTGTAACCGGAGCATAGATACAATCTGTGCGTAAGTTTAATCATGAAAGCTCTTCAACTTTCTGTATGTGAAGGATTACATTAGTGGTCATTTACCACACAGACTATAGCCTAAGCCATTTTTTCTGAGTTTGAAACATTCATGTTAATTAATATATTAATCCAATTAAGTGCATTTAATTAAATGATCCATTTAATAGCATTTCATTGGCTATTCTAAGTTGAACATAGAACATTTTAACAGTTCAACTATTCTTAGTTGAACATAGAAAATATCTATTTGGAACAAATCGATTTGCTAAGATCAAAAAAAAAAAAAAGAAAAGAAAGAATAGACAAAGTACCTTTACAGTAAGGGGCAGGGTGACTCCAGGTTCCCTCATATGTGCAGACAAGGAACTCTTCTCCCACCAGCAGGTAGCCTTGGTCACAGCTGTACAGGACTGACATTCCAGCGGCAAACTCAGCTTTATTTCCACCAGTATGAGACCCATTGGCGATGGTAGGTGGAGGCTGACACTCTAAGAAAGCTTATAGATCAATAAGGAAGGACCTTTAATTCGACATAGAGAAATACCAGACAGCACTATCTTAAGTGATAACAGTGCAGAAAGGCAATCGGCCATAAGCCAGTTAATTGGTAACCAGAAACATTCATTCCAACCAGACCAAGCAACACTGGACAGAAATGTATACCTCCTACTTACCTCATAGATGATCTAAAGAAAAGTAATAAAGGAAGATATTGTAACATCAGTGGCTGCAATCCACAGTTGTAATCTGTCAACCAAGAGAATTCTCTTCTTTTTCCTCTACCTAGCAAATAGGCTGTAGTCTAAGGATCCCACATCCAATGCCTTTAGGAACTAGGAAGTGAGTCTCCRGGTGATAAATCAGAGATCCCCTATCCTTTCAAAAGTGGTAATTGCTGTGGATGTCACTATTTGCAGGTTCACTAATTTTMTTGGGCAACAGAGATGGGTTTCTCTTAAGACTACTGTGCTGGCCACAGAGAAGTTCTGGGGTCCTGAATTCATTTGGGTCGCTCATTGGCAGTCTCTGCTCTAGATAATCATTGACAGCAATAAAGCTCCCAATGACAACTAAAATTATAAGAAAGATAATTTGGTGGATCTGAAGGCCAGCTTCACTCTTTGGAACACCTACAGTTCTCCTTCTGGTTGGTATGACAGCCTTAAATATCAAATTATCAAGCAACATTACAGTCAAACATCAGCCAAAAAAATCTGTATTTTTCCTATTTTAAATTCATAAGAATAAGAAATTTGGAGCCTCAATTAATTTGGAAGTTAACTTTTGTCCTTTCATATAGTATTGCTCTACACATCGAAAACAGAAAGAGGGAAAAACATCATTGAGAAGGAAAATCAGATATCTTGTCGAACAATACAACCACCTTAGCTTTTAAATGCTTTTCCCTAGCCAGAATGGCAAGTGCATATTCAAAAACCTTTATTTTGTACAATATCCATATTTTATTCCTTAAAGGAACTTACCTTTTCTGAAACAAGTCGGTACCCCTGGTACCCAGGTGTTATCTGTATGACACCTTATCAAGTGACTTCCTTTCATGATGAAGCCGGGATTGCAGGCAACATGCAATAGGTCATTGTGGGAATATGCAGAACGAGTTTTGTTGAGCTTGTATCCATGTTTGATTTCTGGGTTAGGGCAGTGAGTTACAGGCGGAGACTGTAGGCACCGTGGGGGAGGTTCACTCCAAGACCCTTGTCCTAGAGAATCATTTCCGCACTGTAAAATTTTCTTCCCCAGAAGATAGAATCCTTGGTCACATTCATAAGAGACTTCATTTCCATACAGAAAGTGCTCTGCCATCACGCCCGTGTGCCTCCCGTTGTCAATCTTAGGTGGAGGGGGACAGTGAATAGCTGCAGGAGAAATTTAGAGGATTCAACTTCAGTGGATCCATCACAATGACGATCTTCATTCAGTACAGGTGACACTATGCAACTGCATTACATTTCACATAACTAAAAAACTTTTGGAAGCCGGATTATGCTTTTTGTTAAACATCTTCATTAAAAGGTGTGACGAGTAATACATACTTGTTCCAAAAAATTCAGAAAAGTATTAAGATAGAAAGAAATATAACTTTCTATATAAGCATAGAAAGTCTGAGTCACTAGTTAGACCACCACAACCTATGTTCTTATGGCCTAGAAATAAGAGCTATAGTTTTTTTAAATGGTTATATATTTTATAAATATATGGCAAATACTCACTTTCTATTATTTGTTTTCCAGTGCAAGGGTTGATAAAACACTGAAAGTTTTTTTTTTTTTTTTTTTTTTGGTACTAGGGATTGAACCCAAGGGCGCTTAACCACTAAGCCACATCCCCAGTCCTTTTTATTTTTTATTTTAAGACAGGCTCTTGCTAAATTGCTTAGAACCTCACTAAATTGCTGAGGGCTGGCTTTGAACTTGTGATCCTCCTGCCTCAGCCTTCCTAGCCTCTGGTATTACAAGTGTGCACTACTATGCTTGACTCAAACACTGATAGATTTTCTATTACCTTACATATACACTGAGGGAGAATCATAAATAAATGAAATTTCTTCGGTGGCCTTCCCTCTCTAACCCGCTATGTACACAGGTAGTTTTGTGGGGTTTTTTTTTTTTTCGAATTTACCTTTACATTGTGGAATCTTCTGGAACCAAACCCCATTCTTAGCATCTTGACATTTCTTATAAGCATGTCCAGTCAACCGGTACCTAGTGAGAGACAGAATATAATACATTTACCTTTTTCCAAAATCACACTTCTGCAACTGGGCTTCTTCAAACTACAGATACAGAGGCACTTCCAAATAGGAACTTTGGCAGAGGAAGCTAGAACTCTTGATTTTGTAAATAAGAAAACTACTTTAGACTTAGAAACCCTGTAAAGCTCTTCCCATTTCAAGAAAGCATAGAAAGTCAGAGTCGCTAGTTAGACCACCACAACCTAATGCTCTCTGTGGGTGTAACAAGGAGGAACCTGTAAAGGAACTCATCAAGAAAAGCTGTGGGCAGAGTGAGTGAGCAAACCCAAGGCAGACCCCTTTGCTCAGAACGGGCTACCTCACACTCACCCGTCTTGACAGGCCGTGTTCACTAGTTCCACACGTGCCTCAGCTGGAAGCGTTGTCACATCCTTACATGCTTCTGGGGGAGCAAAGTTGGAATTTATTCATAGATACTTCATTTCAAAGAGAAAGACAACTCAGGAACTGAAAGTACCTTCACATCGTGGAGTGGGACTCCAGTGTCCTGAAGGCATACACTGAATGGATTTGTTTCCCACAAGCATGTAGCCAGGGTCACAAGTGTAGTCTACTGTCGTCCCCGGGACAAAGAGGACCATATTTCCACCTGTATGCCGACCGTGATGGAGCCCAGAAGGAGGCTGGCAGCCTGAGGAGAAAGCTCCCCACATAAACACCAATACAGAGGAATTCTACTCCAAAATTGTAAGTATGCAACATTTGACAACAGACAATCTAAAACTTGGAAGCCGAGGATCAGAAAGCTCTCATTCTTCACTGAATGCTTTCTACTCTTGTAAAAGAACAAGTCCCATTAAAAAAAAAAAAAATCCCTCTCATTATCTACCCTGACTATATCCTAGATCTAAGGGGGCATTTGCATGAAAAATACATACAACACACATAGAACATTCTTTCACAGAATCGAAGGAATGGGAAAGTAATTCATGCTCCCTTGGCTTTTTCCACAACTCTAGTATTGAGTGGGAGTAATAAACAAAAAAACTAAGTAAATACCTTTTTTTTTTTTTTTTAAATCCCCATTGGGTTTTTACCTTTTTCACAAACTGGTTTTTCAGGATCCCAGATATCATTGTCTTTGCAACGAATCTGACCACTACCCTTCAAAGTATATCCATGATTACACTTGAAGGTCACAGTGTCATTGTAGAAATATGGGGCTGGCTTTATGGATGTCTTGAATCCATTTTCAATGAAGACTTCTGAGCACTGGACAGCAGGGAGGGATAGTTTACAGAGAGGAGCGGGGCCACTCCAGGTGCCTCTCTCTCCATCAGTGCTTGTACACCGGATGGTGCTCTCCCCAATGAGGTTGAATTGGACTCCTTCCTCCGGCCCGGGGTTACACGTATAAGTGATCATGGTTCCATATGGAACGTCTTCGGAGGAACTCCCTGTGTGTCTCCCATTGTAGATAACAGGGGGTGGTGGGCAGGTGATTTCTAGAGAGATGAAAAGATACTGTAGAAGTCTCTCTCAGACACCAAAGAATATTAGCAAAGCAGGTTGTGATGCTGTCACTTCCCGGAGGCTATGGATGAATTTTCATGGTGCTATTTCGAAGTTCATTATGGATATAAAACTTAAGCAGTTTCACAGGACAGAAAATCTTTATTGAAAGTGAACATWCCGATCGATATCAAATTATGAGGCAGAAAGACCCAGGAGTCACTTGCTAATTAAAGGAAGAATTCTTTGAACCTAGCCGATGGGAGGACAAAAGGTACAGGTGATAGAATTATGCTTTTTTGAGTGCTTCGTGCTGAGGTGATACAGTAATACAGTTGGCTAAGAGTATCTATTGTTGGTTGAGTGCCTATTTTGTGACTAGCAGTTTTCCCATCCAGAAAATAGGGTTAGTATCATTTAATTCCAATAATTCTGAAGTCTATAGTTTGATGCCAGTTTTACAGAGGAGAGACTAGAGCTTTAGAGAAGCTACATAAATTGCCCAAGGTCATACAGTTATTAAGCAGTGGGAACAGAATCTGACTTCAGATCTGACACCCATCTCCTGATCTCTTCACTAAACCACAGTTACCCCATGTTAAAGATGGAGGTTCACACGGTCATCACTCTCATTATTCTCATAATCCTAAATCAGAAAAGAGAATCAGCAGCTGAATACATTCAGTTTAGGTGATTGAAGTAGGCAACGGTGACAACAGAAAGACATGGCAAAGCTATGCCACTGTAACCATTGACAGAATTGACAGAATGGAATCTAATGCACTAATCCCCACGGCATGATATGAAACTGCAATCTCCCAAGAAACACATAGGTGGCACATCACTTCAGATTCTCTGTCATTTTTTGCCACTCACCTTTACAAAGACGAATCTCCATAAACCAAGGAACTGTACCTTCACACTGTTGATAAGCATTCTCACTTAACCGGTACCTAGAGATAAAGAGTCACATCATTTGGCCATCTGCTGACCACTAAGCTAAGTGAGAACTATTGGCTTTAAGGCAGATTTGTTCCTTTCAGAACAAGAAGTGATAGAAGCAACAGGAACAAAAATGTAGCTAGGGTCAGTACCATCTATCCATTGCATAGTTCCTATGCAAGGACAAATAGCGTGATCAACTCTGCAGGAACATGAACTACTCTTACATAGTAGTATGCACTACTAAGTCAGAGCCTTCACTCACCCTTCACCGCAAGAAGAGTAAACAGCTGGTCTAATAAACACATGCTGAGGTTTTCGAAAGAGTTGCCGTCCTATCGGTTTACACTCCGCCACTAGGAAAGTAGATGAGGGTGAGACATCARCACAAGGTAATCTTAAAAACAGTAAAACATCTGCATTGGAGGCTTGATACCTTTGCACTGAGGGGTAGTGGGTGTCCACTTTCCTTCCGAGGTGCAGTGTAAGTATTCTTCTCCCACCAGCACATAGCCAGGATTACAGCTATATTTTATGGAGGTCCCAGGGTCAAAGCGGACCAGGCGTCTTCCTTCTCTTTCCCCATTGAGGATTGTAGGAGGCGGCTGGCATTCTAAAGCAAAGGAAAACACAAAACAATTGCTTTAAGATAACAACAGAAACTGAGCAAAAAAAAAAAAAAAATTGACCTTAATGCTACAATTGCACTCTCGCAGCAGCTATGTGGCACAGAGGGTATCTTGCAACCCAGTTTAGGGTAATTTTAGATCGTTCCTGCTTGGTCTAACTCCTCTCCTGTTTCTTCCTTCTTAAGGAACCATCTTGGATGCTTTTATGGGCGATTCTGATATATCCCTGGGTGAGGGCTTTGATGACTTCCCTTTTAAGTAACATTGTTAAGACAAACAAGTGTTTTACTTCCATTTTTTTTTAAAGAAAGAAATGGACAACTCAATGATCCCTAATACTTTTCCCCCAAGCATATTTCCACAAAACGAAACCATGGTGGGGTGGGGAGTGTTAAGAAAGTCCTCCATAGAATTTCTGCCCACTCTGTATTTAGTTTGACCAAGAGTACAGGAAGTGGAAAAGGTCCTGTTGAAAGCCCACAATCCTTCCTCGACCTTTTCGAGACGATACATCAGTGCAGAACACTCACCCTTTTCACAAACGGGCACTGATGGCTCCCACGTGCCTTGGGCATTACATCGTATTTTCCCACTGCCCTTCAGGGTGAAGCTGGGCTCACAGGCAAATACCACAGTGTCATTATAGGAATATTGATCTTTCGGCACAGATGACATTTGGCCTCTCAGGATCTGGGGATGTGGACAACGAACCGCAGAAGTAGAAAGTTCACAGCGTGGTGCAGGGCCGCTCCAGGACCCCGACTTCTGACTATCCATGGTACAACGGATAGTGTTCTCCCCAATAAGGATGAACTTCACTCCTTTCTCYGGGTCTGGGTCACAAGTGTAAGTGACTCTGCTTCCATATGAAAATTTCCCTGAAGAGCTGCCTGTGTGTCTTCCGTTGCGAATAGAGGAAGGTGGTGGGCAAAGAATTTCTACAGAAATTAGAGAGAGATGAAAAATCACAGGTGTACTGCAAGCGACARTGCCTCAGGTGCTGCTTGAAACTACTCCCACCTCCTAGGTTCAAGGACAGTGATATCTGTAATAACTCCATCAAGACAGCGAATACCATATAATTTAAAAGTATGACTTTAAATCTTCATGTTTGAGTATATTGAYTCAGCTGATCCTTTGGTTCCTATTACCAACTATCCAATGTTTTGTTTTTTAATGATTTCACAAGTCTATGTAGCTTTCAGAGAAGGAAAAGCCTAGGAAGCCCATTTGACTTGAGGGAGGCTGAGAATAAAGAGACAATTGAAGGCTRCTTCAATGAAGACCCTGCTGCTTAGGATTTCTAGGCATCCTTTGCTGTATAAGAGTCTGYATGCTAGTGAATGAACCAGAAGCTTTTTGTAAAGCTGAGACTGCAGCATCCTGTCAAACCACCATGGTGCTCTCCATATGCCCTACGGTTCTTACATACCTTCACATACCGGCTTCTTGGTCCAAATAGCTTTATTTCCAGCAATTACACACTGACTAGAAGGTTGGCCTTGTAATCTGTACCTGGAGACAGAGGGTGGTCATTCAGAGCTGTCAGGCAGTTTGTGCTGAAGAACGTCAGCCTCTCACTCAAAATACAAGACAAATTCATKCCATTTGTGTGCACCTACTCTTTTTTTTTTTTTTTTTTAAACCAGCTCTCTCTCTTACAACCTCACTCGGGAGAGCCATAGATCCTTCCAGAGATTCTTCTGCAAGTTTCAGTTTCCACCATGCATGGGTCATCCAAATAAATTAAATCTCAAAGAGCCGCCTGATACTCACCCTTCGTTACAGGAGAATTTCGCAGTCACTCCAGGCAGAAGACTTTGAGGTACCTCTACCCGCCCATTGAGAAGCTGCGCCGGAGTGTCACACCGTGCCTCTAAAAATACAAGCCACATATAAGAAACGGTGGCAAATCACAGCACAGCCCAATTCCTTGAAACAGATTGCAAATATAGGGTACCTATGCATGTGGGAGGGGCAGCACTCCATTCTCCCGAAGAKAGACACCTAATGATCTTTTCTCCATTAAGCAAGTAGCCACGTTTACAACTATAAGTCACAGAAAATCCTGGGGCAAACTGGCTCACATTTTGCCCTGTGTGATGTCCATCGTGGATCTCAGGAAGTGTTGGACACTGCAGAGGGATATCTTCACACACACACACACACACACACACACACACACACACACACACACACACATATTAGGAAAAAAAGCCATCAGATGAGATGGGCTTCACAATCTGCTGACTTTAGGACACAGATTCAAATAAATGGCATGTAATTTATAGCAACCAGCTATCACTAATTTTCAACTTCAAGTGTGGTTTAATTGTATCCACTTTATGCCCTGACTCTTGCATTAATTTTCATCTTTAATTACACTATATGAATTGATTTTGCCTTGAGAAAAATTTCAGTTGCTAAAAGTATCCACTTTTACCCATATTTTCATCCTGTCCTTAAGTCTGTTCTCTGCTCCAAAAGTAGTACTTTATTATTTGCAGGGTAATCCTGCCAGGTATTAGTCATATAGCTTACTGGTATCCAACATGTGATACATATATACACTAATATATTGTGGGCATACTCCATACATATTATCGTATGCTTCCTGTACTTAATAATAGAGTATGTCTATATCATACAAATGTGTCTATATATGACAGTATACGTACATCTACCTAAAGTTTTACAAAAACTTAGTTACTATTTCCCATAGTCATTCAATTTTGTGACTATCTTAAAAATTTCCTCCTCTGAGACTATCCTCACATTTAGGTACCTATCTATTTATAGATCAATCTATTGGTAGATGGAATTATATTGTTAATGATTGAATAGTTTCTCAGCCCTTTAATCCATTTAGAATTTATCAATATTGTTCCTTATTAAGAAAATAAATATCCAGTTGTGATGCTATAACATTTTCAAATATTGTCAATCCTTGTAATTGGAGAATTGAAATTTGATTTGGAGAGCATTTGGAATATAAACCAAACCAGATGAGAAGAAAATGAAGAATTGAAAGTAGTCCAGTTTTCAAAGTCTTTTGATTCGAAGAGTGATGTCGTCTCAGGAGATAACTTGAAGAGATACCAGGTGTCACTTCAGAATGTGCTTACCAAGCCCAGAAGACAGAATGTCACTTGCGCCAGATTATAGTACAGCCTTCCTCAATGGATTTTACATCCACTGGGTGAATTTTTTTCTACGGAAACCTCAATTTTCAAATTTTCCCTCGCTTCCTCCCTCCACCCCTATCATCCTGAAATCCATCTTTTTCCTCCCTTCGGGAAGAGACAAAGTATGGTTTGCACAGAGATGGGAGATCCCAGCCCCTCAACTAGGTTTTTCTTTCTCACTCACCACTCTCACAGGTCGGTAGTGGCGTTGGGCCCCACTTTTTATTTGCTTGGCACCAAACAGTTTTGTTTCCTTTCATGGTGAAGTTGGCTTTACAGGTAAATGTCACAGAATCACCATGTTTGTATGGTGGTTTAGTTTCTCTATTTATGAATCCCCCTGGTACGGTGGGCTCAGAGCAAGAAGAATCTTTTTGGAAATATTCACATACAGGAACAGGTTTATCCCAGACTCCATTCACTTGGTCTTTACTTGTACACAAAATAGCTTTTTCTCCGATGAGACGATATTTAGCCCCACAAGTGTACCTTATTGCGGTACCAAGACGTATAGGTTGTGAGTAAGCACTGTTCCGACCATTTTGTATAGGAGGAGGAGGGTCACAAGAAATTCCTGAAAAATAAAAAAGGAATTATGTTGGCACACTGAAGGTGACACTAAAATATTCAAACTTAAACGAAAGATTCAAATGCCACTTTTCAGAAATTGGCTTAGGTATTTGTATGATTTATGTCTTACTTACAGTCCTCATTGATTCCCAAGCTCCTAAATTCTTACCTGTTTCTCAATACTCAGCTAACAAATCAATATAAACCATTTTAACCAAACAATAACAGTGAAACTGAATTTGTGCAATAGTTCTAGCTAAACAATTTTAATAAGAAACAATAAACAAATAGCACATGAGAATAATATATTAATGACATGGTAATTACGTATGAGGAGGCATCTTAGACTAATGACATTCACTCTCAGTAGACCTGATTTCAAATCTCCACTGTCATTCAATAGCTGTATGACCTTAGGCAAGTTGTATCTTCTCTCAGCCTCAGTTTCTTTATCAATAGTATAATTCAAGTTACTTCATGGAGTGTGATGAGAATTCAGTGAGACAAAAATATGGGAAAGGGGCCAGTTCAATACCTAGAACAGAATAATCACCCAGTGCCTATTTCAAATGCACCGCATACCTGGGCATGATCACGTTTGGTCCTACCACTACAGATACTACAACTTGACCACAGGTCAGCTGCCATTCCTCAAAGCTAGATTCCTTTGAGAAAGTCACAGGAAGTGAACAGAATCTTTGAATAATCACTTCATATCCTTTATTTGTGTGTCCTCATGGGCATGAATGGTATTAGTTGTTAATATGCACACCTCCCCTGGGTAAACCTCAGAACAAAGAGAAAACTACCAAACTCCACCCTTTTTAGTTAATTTCCCTGGCTCCAAGGGGAGCCCTTCAGTAGAGGAACTTGCACAGGAAGCCACAATTTAACTGTTTTAGCACATCCTTCTATGCTTGGTTTTGGTCCAGGTAACTGTATGTCTAGAATCCACAATACAACATGCAGTCAGCTGAGTAAATTTAACTCTTCTGGTTCTACATGCTAAAACAGAGAGAAAAGTGGGCATCTACATATCTATCTATATATGCCTGTATGGATATAGATACATAAATACAGATGTCTTCATTCAAAGCACACACATGGATAAGATGTTATAGTTGGCAAACGTATGTAAACACAAACAACATCAAGAGGCAAGATCCATATTTGATGATTCTTGTTTTCTACTCACGTTCACAGACAGGAAACTTATTACTCCAGATTACTGTCATTCCTTCTTGGACACACTGACTAGAAGATTTGCCATTTAATCGAAACCTTAAACAATAAGGGGTAGCAAATCATCACTAAAAGAAACCAATTCTCTGTTGCATGGAATTAATCACTTCTTTCAAGTATGGATAGAATCTATATTTTAAAGCATTTCTGGTAAGGAAAAAGTCCAAGGTTACTTGTAAGTCCACTCAGTCATACAATAGATCCAGACTAGGTAACAAGAGAGAGAAAACAAAGCCTTAGAATCATATTCTTTTCCTGAATTCTCTCCCTCTCCTCTTTGGCATCCAAAGGTCAAGAGTTTCTTGACCATCATGAAGATAAAGGCCTCAGATCCTAAAGAAGAAAATATCAAAGACCTTGTTACACAAGTTCACCCTGAGGAGTCTCTTTGACTGAACCCAGATCATGTATTAATTCTTTATAACAAGACCTTTAACTTTTGAACCAAAACTCTTCTTTTTCAAATAATGACTGGATAATTTCCAGCCTTGACTGACCATACCCAATTCATACACTTGGAGAAAATGAAAAGCGTTTGGTTACTCACAGAGTTCTTAGTCGTGAAGTGTAAAGAAAAGGAGAGGAAAAAGAATCAAAGCGAGAAAAAAAAAATGAACCATTTTTAGAGCTCACATGTTGCACTTCTCAGCTCTGGATAGGTGTCAGTTCAGGCCCTATCACCTCACACTCACCCTGCATCACAAACAAAGGAAACCTCTGCCCCAAGCTGGAGGTTAGGAGGAGGAACCACGCGGCCATTGAGAAGTTGGTTTGGAATGGCATCACATGATTTCACTAGGGAAAAAGAGACAAGGCTGGTACATGCAGTCAGGAAACGGCTCAGTTTCCTTTAGCTGCAGCAGAGCTTTAAGGCACCTTCACATGTGGGGGCTGCATGGCTCCAGGTTCCCAAGGATGTACACTGCACAAGGTTAGATCCAATGAGAGTGTAGCCAGGGTCACAGCTGTAGGACACTTCCTGTCCAATTGTAAAGAGCTCCTTATCCCTTTTGTTATAATTACCATGGTGGACATGTGGAGGTGGTAGACACCCTGAGAAAAGAACAAGACCAGACGGTCTTTTATTTCTGAAATAAGAACCTTCTTCTTTACAACTTATTATAGCAAGACTGTGGTTGGTAGGAGTGGGATGGAGATTCTCTATCAACTCTCCTGGGAAGGCAGACACCCACTTTGAGAGAGGAGGAGAGGGCTGACTCTACTGCTCTTTTTGGACATGAAGACCTAGGCAGCTACCTGTTTTTTCTATCTTGGCAGGAAACATCACACTCACTCATTGTTTTTCATTTCATTCTACTACAGCATCCAAGATACTCTTTCACTAATAGTGGAACCAAGGGAACCATACTGCAGGGACACATTTTCAATACCAAATCTGTCTCTTCTTTTCTGCTCCCAAAACAAGACTGATGAGCTTTCTGAACTTTGTGAAAGGAATTCCCAATGCTGCCATGTTTTTAGAAAGTTAGATCTTTTGCAATAAGAGTAGGGGAGAAGGGAAGAATGGGAGAACAGACCCAATCAGACCATTAGCCKTCTTTCATAAAGGTTACATTTTTCAATATGAAAATGTATAATGTCCATGATATTTTGAATCAAATTCTGATCTCACCTAATTTCCCCAATTGACATGGCCAATAGGATTGAGAGCTCATTTTATCCTCATTTAAAGAAATCTAAATATATATAGATAGGTAGATAGATAGATATAATCTCTATTGACTTTGTGACTCTCTCTCAGGAGCACTCAAATTCCACCTCTGAGACACATTCCCAGCCTTATTTTATATTTTATTTAGAAATGGGGTCTCACTGAGTTACTTAGGGCCTTGCTACGTTGCTGAGGCTGGCTTTGAACTCGCAATCTTTCTGCCTCAGCCTCCCAAGCCTTTGGGATTATAGGTATGTACCACTGCACCCAGTTTATTTATTTTGTTATTATTTATTTTATTTTTAATTGGAATAACATTGTACCAATATATGAGATACCATGTGATGTTCAGGTACATGAATATGTTGTGTAATATTCAAGTCATGGTAAATATAGCAATATTCTAAAATTTTTCATTTTTTGTGGTGAATTTTTTCAAGATTGTTTCTTTTATCTTTTAAAAAATGTACTGTATATCATTATTACATAGAATCATCCTACTGTGCAACAGAACACTGAAATTTATTTCTCTTATCACTTAGTATTTGTTGGTCAATGTCTCCTCAGCTTCCCCCGCCCCCCATTCATCCTAGGCTCTGGTAGCCACTATCCTATAATCAACTTTTATGAGATCAACTTTTTTAGATTCCATGCATGAGTAAGATCATGTGGTATTTGCCTCTCTGTGCCTTGGATTATTTCACTTAACATAATGATCTCCAGTTCCATCCAGGTTTCCATAAATGATAGGTTTTCTTCTCATTTTATTCCTGAATAGCCTTCCATTGTGTTTGTGCACTACATTTTCTTTATGCATCTTCAGCTGATAGATACTTAGATTGTTTCCACTTCATGGTTATTATGAATAATGCTTCAGTAAATATGGAAGTGCAGGGTCTCTTCAACACACTGACTTCATTTCCTTTAAATATATACAGACCCAGGAGTGGGATTGCTGGCTTCATATAGTATTTCTATTTTTAATATTTTGAGGAAACTCCATTACTGTTTTCCATAATGACTGTACAAATTTTACATTTATATCACCCTATGTAAGCATTCCCTTTTATCTATATCTTCATCAGCACATGCTACATTTTTTCTTTTTGATAATGGCTATTCTAACTGGAATAAGATGATGTCATATTGCATTTTTTCTGATCATTAGTAATGTTAAGATTTTTTTCATATATTGGCTATTCATATTCATATGTCTTCTTTTCCTGAAATGACTATGTCTATTGTCCATTTTTAAATTTAATTATTTAAAAATTTTTGCTTTTGAGTTGTTTGAGTTCCTTGTGTAGTCTGGTTATTAACCCCTTGCCAGATGTGTAGTTTACAAATATTTTCTTCCATTCTGTATGTTGCCTCTTCACTTTGTTGGTCATTTTTTTTTGATGTACAGATTTTTAGTGTCAGGTGCTTTTAGGGTCTTACTCAAAAAATCCTCACCAATTCCAATGTCTTGAAGCATTTCATTTATGTTTTCTTCCAGTAGTTTCATGTCTTGCATTTTAAGTCTTTAATCCATTCTGAGAGTTTTTTAAAAAAAGTGGCTTATAATATTCCCTATATTAATGCAGACCTAGTAATGTCCCAGAATGTAATAATAAAATTTCCTACCCCTTCAACATTTAGATATTACTTCCAAATTTTTTAAAAGAATCCCAGTAACATATGGTTTGCTTTTCCTACTCTTCCTGTACGTCCCATGTATCTATCCTGCCAAGGCACTAATTTTATTTCCAGATACCCAGAATTTCATCCCAACTTACCCCTGAAGCATGTTGGCAGTGGAGGATTCCACTTGCTGTTTGGTTGGCACCACACCATGTTGTTGCCTTTCATGGTAAAGCCAGGTTTACACTTAAACATCACTGTATCATTTAAGAAAAAGGAACGTTTAAATCCGGATTCCACAATTCCATTTTCAATTTCTGGAAATGGGCATTTGACTTGAGGGATACATTGAGGGGGTGGGCTGCTCCAGACACCAACTTGATTGTCTTGACTGGTGCAATATATTGACTTCTCACCCACGAGGTCAAACAGCTTTTCCCCACGTGGTCCAACATTGCAATGATAAGTTACCACGATGCCATAGTAAAAGGTATCTTCACTGGTCCTATAGAAGTCCCCATTGGAGATGGTTGGGGGTGACTCACAAGGAATAGCTTTTAAGGAGGTAGGTCAGAAAAGAGAGAAGGCATTTAGATGTTATACTTCCTAAGAATTTTGTTTTCATTCTCATAAACCAAACTTCAACTCAGCCTACCATTTATCTCTGTTGTTGCAATTCTGTGTCCTGATCTTAAAGATGATTCTAAATAGGAAGTATCCAGGCAGGAAGATGCATGGAACAGGTTGTTGAAAACTCAAAAAGCTATGAGTTTGTCCCTAGTCTCTACTTCAGAGTACAGATAAACTGTTACAGAAGGCACTCAGGATGACCTACTTTTGCATGGAATAAAGTTGGTCAATGTGTAATCTTATGATATATTTTATATCTAAGAAATCATTCACTATAAAATAACATTACCAAAAGATAGTAATCAAAGGAAAGTGTGTTGGGAGTAAGAGCCACAGAGGAGGATAGATCACACTCTGTGCTCAGAACTACCTAAACCAAGTGTAACCCTCCTGAGTACTCATTTTGATGTGGAGCTCTGCACAGTTTCCCCCTAAAAGAGGATTGAGAAATTATATAGGATGCCATAAAGAGATTGTTGTACTCACATTCACAAAAAGGCATGTCCTTATCCCAGATTACAGTATTGTCCAAGACAATACATGTAGCAGATGAGCCACCAATGAGTCGATATCTAAAGACAAGAGATGAGTGATCATCTCCCAGCTACCATTATATTTTAGAAAACTAGTTCTTTCTTTACTGAAAGAATGTAAAAAAAAAGGAAAAAAAAAGAATATCATGTATGACAGGGAGTGGCAGTACACTAAGGATTTATAAAAAATTCAAGAATCTAAAACCAGATTAAATTGGACCTTCAAGTCTATAGCATTGGAGTTTTAAGGTTAAAAAAAAGTGCAGCCCCAATCTCTTTCTGTCTAGGGATCCTCTGTTGGGTGATCCTGAAGACCTGTCTCTGGAGCAGGTCAAGATGACTCCTTTTTGCTTATGAACTTTAAAGGGGAGGTCACAATGACTCTGGTCTATTTTGGAAGACTGATGGATTCTGGTTTGAACTACTAGTATCCATGTATCCTGCCAACTCACCCTTTATTACAAGAATATGTGATTGTTGACCCAAACTCGATACCCTCAGGGATCAGCACAGAGCCATGGAGGAGTTCTCTAGGACTCATACATAATTTACCTACAAGGGAAAACAAAATTTAAAAAAAAACAGGACTTGGGGTTGGGATTCAGAAGACATGTTGCGTTCAATATGAAATCCCAACCTGACTGAATCTGCTGATGAGCCTACTTATATTTATTTTAAAAAATTGAGCTTGACAAGGGGCTGGGGTTGTGGCTCAGCGGTAGAGCTCTCACCTAGAAGGTGCAAGGCACTGGGTTCAATCCTCAGCACCACATAAAAGTAAATAAATAAAATAAAGGTATTGTGTCCAACTACAACTTAAAAAAATAGACATTGGCAAAATGTGTTAACTCTCAAAGGATCAGTCCATTCTGGAGCACTATTTGTTTAACATAGATGATCTCTATTTATGAGCATGGATGCAAACTTTGTGGTCAATTATAACTTATAATCTTCAATTCCCCTTTCGAATGGCATCAAAATGCACCAGTTGATGGCATCATATGCCTAATCTAGATTAAGAAACCCTCAGGGTCATCATTTCCTTTCTGTAATTCACCCTTTACTCCTTGATCTTCGTTCAATTAGTCAATAAATTTTAGCTGCTGGGTTGCAGAAATTTCTCTCCAAATTGACTATTTTGATCCTGTTGAAGTCTCTCATTGTATTATTGAGTTTCTAACYCTGGTCTCCCTTGGTCTCATATATCATCATATCACTGCATAATTCTCTAAAGTACAATTATGGCCAGGCCACCCCACATATTTAAAAACTTGCAATGGCTTAACATTTTATAGAAAAAAAATGCATGATCTTTTATAGTTAAACATCAATCTACTTAACCAACTACTATTCTTTACCAGGGACCCTATTCTCCACTCTCGCTGATTTTTTTTTCCTTCTAAATGTATGTTCTTCCATATCTCTATGCTTCTGTGGTAACACAGTCAATCAGTGAGCTACATCCCTAGCCCTTTTTATTTTTTATTTGAGACAGGATCTTGCTAAGTTGCTTAGGGCCTCAATAAGTTGCTGAGGTTGGCTTTGAACTTGAGATTCTCCTGCCTCAGCCTCCCAAGCCATTGGGATTACAGTCATGCACCACCACGCTCGACTATGCTTCTGCATATGATAAAACATCCTTAGTCCAAAAGTCCTGGATTTCTCTATTTCCTGCAGATATCAGTTACTATTTATTTCTCTATAATATAGTACTTTACCTCTATAAATAAATGATACAGTACAACATATGTTTAAGAATCAGTCTTTACAACTAGTGTAGGAATTCCTTAAAGTAGAAACTACTGAATTAATTTTTCTGTCTCTTCCAAACCCCATTGTCTAGTGTAGTTCTTCATATCTATTAATTATTCAATTTCTCGAATTGAATGTGCTAAGAAGGGTGAAACTAACATTCCTTGCATAGTAACTTTTAACGTCACTCTAATACAGTATAGAGATCATAGAACCTAGTTATGGAGAAAATAGGATTAATAGGCTTGGCCTGCGGTGGTGACTTAACCCCCATAATCAATACCCCTAAGGAAAAAAGGAAACATGGAGATTCTAGGAGTACTCTTCACTGCATAAGCTCAGAGGTTCAAAGAAATACTAATTTACTGGTCTTTTGTCTGGAAAATAACAGGGTATTCCATACAGATGTGATGATAGACCCAAAGATTCCTCCATGACAGGATTACTCACGTTTACAGAACTGCTGAGCATCTGACCACTTGGAGGTCTCTAAGCAGGTGATAAAGAATGACTTCTTGGTATACCCAGGGAGACATCTGTATTCCCAAGATGTCCCAACAGCAAACTCAGACTGATCACTCTGAACATGAGGCTTAGCAAAATGATACCTTGGCAGGAACTTACACTGACCTAAAGACAGAGACCACAGGAATATCAAAACTAAGGGAGGCTGAACTTCTCTGCTTCTATCTTTTGCCCATTATCCTAACAACTTTGATCTCCATAAAGTAAGCTAAAACTGAACAAAGAACACATAGCATTATACTAGGCATGAATATACGGAGAAATAAGCTCAGAGGTTCAAAGAAATTTTAGGATAGATTTCAGAGGAAGAACTAGAGAAAAGAATTTTTTTTCATAAAAGTCTAGACACACCCTGAGGCTGTTCCATTTTCTTACACCCTTATAAATAAAAAACAGTGGGTTTTGTTGTTGTTTGTTTATTTGTTTCATGGTGAGGTTAGAGCCTGGAGAAAACAGGATACAGATGTTTTGAGGGTTTTTTTTTTTTTTTTTGCATAGGGAGAGGTTGCTAATATTTTACCAGCTTCAATGAGGTATAATTGATAGAAAAAAACCTGGACATGATTAATGTATACCCTTTGATAAGTTTGGAACGCGCGCGCACACACACACACACACCCCAAAACAAACAAACAAAAAATACAGCCCTAGTTTTTCTAAGTAAAAACTAAAATCTTATAAGTAAAAAAATCTTACAAATAAAACATTGGGGAGTAGCATAGGAAACTAAAGAACATCAGAGATTTTGAAAAAGCACATGTATGATCCTTTAAAATTACTTTAAAGATTTAAATAGGGGCTGAGGCTGTGGCTCAGCAGTAAAGCGCTCACCTAGCACGTGTGAGGTGCTGGGTTGGATCCTCAGCACCACATAAAAATAAATAAATAAAATTAAGGCATTATTAATTATTTAGTCCAACTACAACTAAAAAAAAATTGAAATAATTACTTAAATCATTAAACCTTTTGGGTCTAGAGAAAAAAATGTGTTTCTTATTCTTTATTAATATATCAATCTGGTAAGAGTAATATAACCCTACACAGTGCTTAATAAATACTTTTTGTTGGGTACTAAAGAAAAGGAAATAGTTGGGGCTGGAGTTGTGGCTTAATGTAGAGCACTTGCCTAGCATGTGTGAGGCACTGGGTTTGATTCTCAGCACTACATATAAATAAATAAACAAAATAATGGTCTGTCAATATCTAAAAATATATTTAAAAAAAAAAGAAAAAGAAGTAGTCATTAAGATTTTTTTCCCCATGATTTAAAATAACGGTGGTGGTGGTGGTGGTGGTGGTGGTGGTGATGATCATGAGATATGTGCTGTCATAGGAGATGAATAAAAAACATAACAACCATACACTTGAGGATATCCTTACAAAAGTCTTTTTCCTACATATGAGAAAGAGCTCAAATTTTAACTCCCAAAATTCATATGCAGAGAACAAGAAGTTAATACTTATTTCAGATCAGATGGTAATTCAGGCAAAAAGTATCCAGCTGTGAGGCCCACCCAGAAAAGAAATGTATTTGAACATCAACTTTATAAATATTTTTTCAAACAATTCTGAGACAGTACAGATGAAAGTCAAAAGATAAATATGGTTAACCCATAGGCATTCACAGAGCTCCCACAGTTGCAGACAGACCCGCCCTTTCTGTGGCTCCATATTTTTATTAGAGGATCTAAGAACGGCCATCACTATTGGGACCCAGATATCAATGTAGGTCCCCTTCTATTTATTTTCTCAACTCCTTCAGTTTCTTCCATCAATATCTACCAATGCTCTCAGATGCATACTTTGCAAAACAGCAAGAATTATAGGGAAAATGAGGGTTTGATCTCACGAAGACACACTTCATGACTTGACACTATTCATACCTGTGATTCTAATCAAGAGGTTTAACCTCTAGTTACCAGATGTACACAAGGATAATACCAAATCATTTTTCACAAGCTGAAAAATCAATTTAAACCCACAAGATTTCATCAACAGCAATGATACAGACTAAGAGTGAACTTGAAATGCCAAAAACAAAGGGTGCTCTATAAAGCATACTGTAGTATGACTTTCTACTAGGAAAGGGGACAAGAATCACACTTTCTGGATGAAGACTAATGGAAAAGTCTCATCCTTAATAAGGAGACTTGGAAACTCTCTCTGGGCACATTGATTCTCTTTAAGAATGAAATTGCCAAAATCCCAGGTCATAAGACAGAACTTCCAGAAATCAGTTTCTTTTCAATCAGGAAAGAAAAGGTCTCTCCATGAACCATTAAGTAATATGAATGTTCTTGAGGGTTGCTGTACCCTCTTCACAATAGGGAGTGAAGATTAGAGTACATAGCGGCTGTACCTAAAAGAAGAAACAGTGACAAGACATTGACACACACACTATCCCCAAATCATGTTAAAAACTAGGCAAAGCACAATCACACACACACAAATTTTTTTTGGATTTTTTCTCTGATAAGCAGATACTGATCCATAGTGGGGCTGGTGGATCGGGAAGAATGAAGCAGCTTGGGTTTGTGTAAAGGAGAGTCAGGGGAGGGGTGGGGTTGTGAGGATGGGAAGGACAGTAGAAAGAGACAGACATGATTATCCTATATACATGTATGATTACAGTAGTGGAGTGACTCTGAACCATGTACAGCCAGAGGAATGAGAAGTTGTGTTCCATTTATGTACTATACGTCAAATGCATTTTACTGTAAAATTAATTAATTTTTAAAAACTAGGCAAAGTGGTTTCTGGAGAAGAGGCATACATTTAACTTAGAAATCCATTTGGAAGAAATGAAGGAGATGTACGTAGGATAACAAAATTATCTGAAAGATTAGTCAGAAAGCAGGCAGGAAGGGAAACTATCATTGAGAATGAAAATGATGATCAAATACAGTAATACTGGGTTTTCCTGGAATTTGATGAGTATTTTTTGAATGACTGTTATGCGTATTAACTAAGGTATGCTCCCAAGTGCAGGAAATTCATCAGTGAACTTGAGATGATGTTCCCACTCTCATAGAATTTATATTCCAATAGAAGGAAACAGATCATAAATAAATACCAGAAAATAAATAAGATGGTGCTGTGAAGAAATAGAGTAACATATTGAAATGTAATGCACCTGAAGCAGAAAGGGTCAGGGTGGCATATAACATCTGTTGCAAGTTGGTTAAGGGAGGACTGCAAAGAGGAGAGACTCTGAGTTGTGGCTGAAGGATCAGAAGAAGCCAGCCAACCAAAGCACTGGGTAGAAGCATTTCCAGCAGAGGCCTAATATTAGGAATGATTTTGTATGCTACAGGACTCCACAGAAGGCAAATGTGGCTGGAATGTAGTATCAAAGCAGGGTAGAACAGGTAAGTTAGTGAGGTCAGCAGGAGTGATCTCATATGGCTTTTCGGGCCACAGGCAGATGTTTAAATGTTATCCTGAATAGAAGTCATTGGCAAGTTCACGCAGAAGAGTTGCATGACCTCATTTACTCTTTTAAAAGAATATTCTGGCAATTGAGTGGAAAATTGGTTGGACTTTTAGAAGCAGGGCAAAAAAATGAGGCTTGGTCTAAAGATAGAGAGAGTGAGAAGTGGATGGATTTGAAATATATTTTAGAAGTAGAATTAGCGAGACTTGCTGTTGGATTAGATGTGGGACTAAGGAAATGGAGGATTCAGTAATGACTTCTAGGCTTTTGGCTTGAGTTACCTGATGGATGGAATTACCATGCACTTAGATAGGAAAGCCTAGAAAAGGAGCAGATAGTGTGTGTGAGTGTGGGTACACACAAATGTGCAAGCCCGCATGTGCATGAGCATGCTGTGGGGTGCATGTATGTGCAGAATCAGTTCCATTTCAGCTGCGGCATATTTAACACACCAGGCATCCAAATGAAGATACCAAGTAAGCAGCTGGATGTAGAAATTTGCAACTGAAGTCAGGACTACAGGCAATAAACGTCAGTTATAAAGAATTTTAAGGCAATGAGTCTATATGAGATCTCTCAGGAAAAAAGAGAAAAAGACAGACGAGGCCCCAATACCCTCGAATATTTAGATACAGGGCCAAGGAGACTGAAAATAAACAGACAGCTATGGAAAAAAAAAGTGCAGAATCTTGTTTTGGAAGATGAGAATAAAACTGTTTCAAGAAGGGGGAAGTAGTAAGTTTTTGCTGAAAGACTAAGAAAGGTAGCATAGAAAATGACCTTTGGTTTTGTCAACATGAAGGTTAATAGTGACCTTGCCAGAAGTAGCTTGAGGAGAGAGATGGGGTGGGTGAAGGTGCTCAAGAGGAACGAGCAAGCAGCCAAGGAGAAATTTGCTGAGAAGGATGAGAAGAGGGACAGAGAATTGGAGTTCCACTGAGTGATGAAAAGCCCCTCCCACCCACAAAGGAGGCCTCAAGAGTGGAACAAATGGAAGATGCAAGAGAGGACAGCTTGGTAAGGTAAGAGGGAATGGAATATGACCGTGAACACAGGAAGAGAAGTCAACTTCTTCAGGGGAAAGAATATTTCCATTGTCATAGGTGTGTGAACCCCTAGTCATGTGCTATGATAGAAATTATGTCAGGTAATAGGAACAATAAAGACCGTGCTGTCGTGGAACTTGTTTCCAGTGAGGGAAGAAGCAATGAACAGATAAATAAACAAGAAACTTTCCGAAGGTGACTGGTGATCTGTAGAAAAGAAGACAGGGTTATGGGTGAGAGTCAGACGACTGGGARAGTGAACTGAGCCTTGACTGTGGAGAAGATCTGGCAAGGTAGGATGAGCACTGCAGCAGAGAACACCTGTGCAAAGGCTTGACAAAGTGCCTGTGACCAAGGGACAGGGAGGGGGAAGGTAGTGTGGCTGGAGCAGAGAGAGTGAGGGGGAAATGGAGAATTTCCAAGAGGAGCTGATGCCTTCTAGTCAAGGACAAGGGGCAGGGATTTTATTCTGGATGACAGGAAGCCTTAATCAGAGGAGGGCAGAATCATCCCCAATGGGGGTAGCTATGTACCTCAGCTGCTGGGGAAAAGAGGGACTCCCTATTTCACAACTTTGTTTTCTTAGCACAGAATGAGCTCAGGTTGCCAGTGGGTGAAGGCCTGAGTGAAGTCTAAGAGTGCAGGAAATTTGATCCATTTATGAGAAGGATYAAAAGGAAAAGGTGAGAAAACATCTTAAGAGGGAAATTTGCTTTCTATTGACTTAAAGCAGTGTGCCATATAGACCTCTGCTTCAGAATCTTCCAAACTGCTTGTTAAGCCTCAGCTTTCTGGGTCATACATACTCTAAACCCATGAGGGAGAAGGGGGCCTGCAGAGTGGGAGGTGGCATCTACATATTAAAAAGGTACGTCAAGATTTTCTTTTTTAAATTGATTTTTATTGGTGCATTATAATTGTAAAGAGTTTCTTAAGTGAAGGAAACTGGCCAAGAGCCAAGAAATGATCTAAGGAGAATGCACAGTAGTAGTAAAAGTCAGAAGGGGGAGTGGCCAACCCATGAGCAGTGGGATGACAGGTAGACAAGAGGATGAGCAGCACATATGTGACAGGGAGCAAGGAGGTGACATCCAATCAGAAAGAGCTTGACTGACAGAGTAGCTTTTTCCTCCACAGGCAGTGGGAATCCATTTAGACTTTTGAGCAAGGGAGTGGAATAATGAAAGCATTATATATATATATATATATATAAAATATGTATTCATGAATATATATATATATATATATACACACACATATATTTTTCAAAACTTGGTTTCATGATTTAAAAGGTTAAAGAGGCAGGAGGCAAAGTAATCTATAAGAGAGGAAGGCATTGGACAGGCAATTAGATGCTTAGGATTAGACTATTGGAATGAAAATGATAGAAAGACAAATTATAGGTCTGTGTGAGCCTTTAGAGTAAACAGAAAGGCAGATCTTGTTTTTTTTCCATGTGTGTGGAGTTAAGGGACCCAGACCATGATCCTGCTCTGGTACAGAATGTGTACCTGTAGGGAATAGTGAGTTAATTAGTGTGGTGAAGAATTTATTTTTCAACTGTTAAAATCTTCTCTGAAATTTTAGAAACTGTAATGGAATGCTGGTAAGAAGTAAGGTTGGGTGCTGTACCATATGCAGATGTCAGAGAAAGTTGTGGATGTGCATTTGTTCAAAGGATTTACTAGGTAGAAAAGGAAAGAGGGATAAAGGCAATGAAATATTCAAAGAAAATAATCCAAGGAATATTCAACTAAGGACCAGGAGACAGTTCAATGTCCAAAAAGCAAATAGATGTAATGGAACTAATAAATTCAATAGCTCAAACTCCTTAAACTGGGAGTGGCCATTTAAGCGCTGGCTCCTTGAAAACAGATCCAGGCAGCGCTTATTACTGACTTAGTAGTAACCACAGACGTCTACCCTTCATTTGCTTATTTTCATCAGGAAACTCAGTGAGATGAAATGGTAGGGCAGCCTAATGCTGACTTCATCTCATATAGAAACTGAGGATGGGGGGACACCAAATAACTTGCCAAAAGTCACCCAGTTATTGAAATCTTCATACAGTAAACGTTTTAAAAAGCTAAGAATTCATTGTCCATGGGAGATAATTACAAAGACTCACAGTAGCCAAGAGACTCTAATCAAAACACATTATAATACTTTAAAATCAAGCCAGTCTGGGAGGAAAAAAAAGTTATGATATTGAATGAGACTTTCTTAAAGCTTACACTCTTACAGAAGGTCAAAAACACTGAAGAAAACTAAAGTTTTAATTCATGCCTCAACTTTTTGAAATGACTCCAGATGTTTACCAATGTCATATCAAAGTTAGAAATATCTGAGAACCACAGTCGGGAGCAGAGGTGTTTCTTATTTAGGTCAAGGAACCCAAAGAACCGAGGTTCTGCTACTGCTCCTGGGCAGGAGCATAGTTGTGTGCACAGAAACACGTGTGCTCTGCGATCTTGGCGCACAGCCCGGGTAGGTTTTAGGCGCTCGCAGACCTCCCGCAGGCGGAGAGCTAGAAGCACCTGCCTAGTCCCAGGGGCTGGGAGCCCCGGGGAGGAAAGGTCTGCCACCAGCCACACCAGTATATCCAATGGCGTCCCTCTGTGACTCAACCTCCAATTCTGGGTGTTCTGACTTCCCAGAAGAGGGACTGGGGACAATCAGGACCCCCGGAGATTGGGGAGAAGGTTCCCAAAGCCAGTGGGGCAGTCGTCTGTCACTCTCCCCGTCTTCCCGCTTTKGGCTCCATGCTTTGCATAGGGGCACTGAAGCCTTCCCTGTCCCAGACGCATCCCTACCTCCGGGCTCCCCCTCCCAGCTCACCGAGGACCCCTGGCGCGAAGAGAGCCAAGAAAACCCCGAGCGGGCCCGCGGCGCCCATGCCACGGCGGCAGCCCCAGCGACGGGATGCGTTCCGGGACCCGCGAGCCTCTGGCAGCTGCGGGAGGGCAGGGCTGGGCAGCAGACAGCTGTGAGCACAGGGAGGCGGGTCCTTAAATAGTGTCTGGCACCTCGTGAAGGCTCACCTGCAGGTGGCCCGGGGGCGGAAGGCAGCGCCTGAGGGTGGGGTGAAAGAGGCGCGGAGGGGTGGCCCTGGCTGGAGGTGGGCGGGCGCGAGAGGGCTGAGCTCAGAATCTCCCCTGAGTGCAACTTTTTCTGGGGCTGTGCAACTCAGCACATTATTTTCTCTTTCTAGAACTGAAACGTTTCGCAAAATAGTACTCACACTAAAATGTTCAAAGTTCGAATGTTATGCTGGTCTATCCTATTCTATTATTATTATTATTATTAAATTCTGGTTTGGACTCACTAAATTCATTTAAAATTACTGAATTCAACCCTCAGTTTGAAAACCAACCAACCAACAGCAACAACAAACCAGTCTGAGTTTACTTAGGCAATTTAGGAATGGCTGCCAACTCTGCTATTAAGTTCTTTTTATTTTGAAGTTATTTCTACAGAAAAGTTTCACAAATAGTTCAAAGAATTCTTATGTAGCATTTAGATCCTTTGTTAACGTTTTACTATATTTTGTTTACCATTCTCTCTGTAAAGATGTATAGACCGCATATGTATGATTATATACTTACATAGTTATTACTTTGGAATCTATTGAGTAAAATTTACAGTCATTTATATCCCTCCTCTAAATACATCAATGTGTATTACCTAAAACTAAGTACTCTCCCTCCATATCTAGTGATCAACAACAAGAAATTAACATTGACACAGTCTATTCTATAATCTACTGATTGCATTCAAATTCTGACAACCATCTCAATTATGTTTGTTATAGCAAAACATCAGTAAAACAAAAACTTTTTTTTCCTGGTCCAGTATCATTCCAGGATCATAGCTTGCATTTGATCATAATGATTTTCTTCCACCTTTTTATCCTTAAGAGTCTTCAGTCTAACCAGGACCTGGGGTTGCATGCCTGTAAGTAATCCCAGTGACTCGGGAGACTGAGGCAGGAGAATGGAGAGTTTAAAACCAGCCTCACCAAAAGTGAGGTGCCAGGCAACTCAGTGAGACCCTGTCTTTAAATAAAATACAAAATAGGGCTGGGGATATGGCTCAGTGGTTGAGCCCCTGAGTTCAATCCCTGGTACTGCCCCCTAACTCTCAATAAAAAAGAGTCCTCAGTCTATTTCTCTTTCATGATCTTGACATCTTTGAAGAGTATATAGTATTTTTGTAGAATGGAATTTTAAATTAGATGTCTAATGTATAGTAACAAATTACTCTAAATTTAGTGGCTTAAAGCCAGATGAAACACTTGCTATCTTTCAGTTTTTGTGGTCAGGAATTTGAGAGCAGCTTAGTTAGACTTGGAGTCTCTTGAGGTTGCAGTCATCAACTGGAACAACAGCCACCTGAAGGGCTGGCTGAGACAGGATGACCCACATGGAATATGACTCACTCACAGGGCCCTTGGCTGGAGGCCTCATTTCTTTACCATGTGGACTTTGCTGTTGGATTGCACAAGTGCTGAGTGTTCTAAAGACATGGCAGCTAGTTCCTCCAAGATCAAGAAAGGCAGAAGCCACAGTTTCTTTTATGACCTATCCTCAAAAGTCACAGAATATCCTAATGATTATACAGTTCAGTCCTWTTTAGTGTAGGAGGACACTATATAGGAGGCAGGATCATTGGGTACCATCCTGGATGCTGGTTGCCTTCCTCAGTTTGTGTTTGTATCTCATTTCATCCAGATTATGCATATTTAGCCCGAATACCAGAGAAGGGATGCTGTGCCCTCATCAGGAGGCACATGTTATCTATTGGTCCTGTTACTAGTGGTAGTAACTTTGATCACTTAGTTAGGGTGGTATCTGCCACACTTCTCCTGTGTCAAGGTCCTATTTGCCCCTTTGCAACTAATAAGTATTTTTAGGATTGTACTTTTAAACTCTACTTCAATTTTTCACCAAAATTTCCTTCACCAATTTAAAATCCATTAATGATTCTTTCCTGAATCATATGGTCACCAAATGGTATTTCTAAATCAGGCTTTACTTCTATATTCATTAGTTGGCATTATACTGAAAAGAAAAGCRTTCTCTTCCTTGTATATTTATTAATTTACATATATATCACTATGGACAGTGTCTGACAATAGGAATGTTATCTATTTATTCAATTGATCATAATCCATTGTTACCACTATTTTTTAAGCATTTGTTTTTTAGTTTTAGGACACAATAACCTTTATTTTATTTTTATGTGATGTTGAGGATCGAACCCAGTGCTTCATGCATGCTAGGCATGCACTCTACCGCTGAACCACAACTGCAGCCCTGCTACCACTATTTTGATGTTCAATTTGTCMCTGATTTAGCCAGTAGGAACCATTTGAGTAGTTCTTGTGTCATTTTTACCTATTCTTATGATTCTTCTATTACTTTATTATTTTTTGAAAAAACAAGAAGCCCCAGATTCATCTTGTATCTTGCCAGACCCTGGTACTGATACTCGCCATTTCCCTGAGGAAGGATAGTCCTTTTGGGTRGAGAATATATTCCATTTTAGTTTTTAATTTGTCTTCTTGAATTTTTTACATAGGAGAAACATTAAGATGGTTCCAAATGTCTGAATTGTACATAAARATGTAATCAGAGAAATGTTACTTCTCCCATTATGACTATTCCCACTCACCCACATAGGTATTTTTTAAAAATAGTTTCTTGTTTATCTGTTTTTGTTTTTACCCAAATAAGCACTTACACATCTCCCTTATTATTTATCTTTTATGGCATAAAAGAAACCATGCTATAAATAATCTTTCCACTTTGCTTTTTTTTTTTCAATCTTATAAACATGCTTGAATCCTCTCCACATATATCTTTTTTATTGTATGGTTATACCACAGGTTTATTCAAGCATTTCCCTAGTATAGACAGGTACTTTATAAAGCCCTAAAGAATAACCTTGTGCATACTTATTTTTTTTATTGGTGAGAGTCTATCTCCAGCTCAAATTCCTAAAAGTGAGATTACTTGGTCAAATGGTAAATGTTTACRTAGTTGTTATGGTTTGAATGAGGTGTGCTCCCCTTGACTAAAGCTCATGTGACAATACAGTAATATTCAGAGGTGAAATATTAGATTATGAGATCTGTACTCTAATCAGTGGATAAATCTTAATGGATTCATAATTTGAAGGAATTAMTATATTAAGTGGGGCTATAAGCTGGTGGGGCATGACTGGAGGAGGTGGGCATGCCCTTGGCTTCTCTTTTTCTCTCTGCTTCCAAACCCCCAMGAACTAAAGACAATAGCTTTCTTTCATTATGCCCTTCTGTCATGATGCTTGGTCTTATCTATGACCCAGAGCAATGGARCAGGCCGACCATGGATTGAACCTCTGAAACCATGAGCCCCAAAGAAACTTTTCCTCTTCTAAGGTGTTTTTTTCTTTTAAGACAATGTCAAATTCCCTTAATAAAGAATGAATGGGCATGCCTGTTTCCCCAGTCTCACTAATCTAATGTGCCATAATCATAGATTAATTGTAACCAATCTAATAAGAGCAAGGTTGTATCTCAAGAGTAGTTAAATCGGCATTTCACTTATTGTGTATGAGCAAGCTTGAACATACCTTCATAGGTTGAATAGCTGATTTTATTTTTATTATTTTCTGGAKTCTCTGTTCATAATCTTCTTCATTTTTCTGTCATTTATAAGACACATTTAAGAGTTCTTTGTGTATGTTAGAATTATTAATCCTTTATCTGTGATGTATTTTGAAGGTATTTTCTCCCACTTTGTCAGTTGTCTTTTGGCTTTATTTATGATATTATTTTGCTTCATAAAGATTTTTTTATTTTTATATAGTCAAGTTGATCAATCTAYTCTTTTATTGCACCTGGGTTAAGAGGCATAATTAGGAAGGTTTTATCTATACCTAGATTATATAATAATTTATCCATGTTTTCTTCTTGTACTTCTGTTGTTTCATTTATTTTACAGTTAGATTTAAGAAACATTTGTTGTTTATTCTTGTGCTTCTTCCTGGATTTCCAAATATATTCTTTTGCAAATCCACACTTCTCATTTACACCAAGACTCAAATCCTCTGCAGTTAAGCATGCTGAATGTTTAGTATCTTACTGTAATCTCATTTAAACCTTTATCAGAAAAACAAATTCACCCTTGTCCTGCAATAATTTCCTATCTTATTCATAGTAAAAATCAATGTCTTGATACAGACCTGCTTAGTCCAGCATRATCTACTTCTCTTCAACCGCCCTGAATTCATCTTGTATTTCTTTCCCCTCCTCTGGCCACATGGCTCCTGATGTCTTTGGCTCTCAGAGGGTTTGTTTGTTTTTCCATGAAAGTTCTTCTGAAACTCCCAGGGGTCTGATGCTGCTCATTTCTTTCCACACGTCGCTCAAAGACACCTTCTCAGTGAATCTTTCCTATTTTTTTTCTTATATTTCCACCTTCTTTTCCATTCATATACCCTTCATTGATCTAATTTTCTTCCTTTAGGGCTTAGCTTGATGGAACATATTATGTTTTCCATTGATTTTATGTTTGTATGGTGATACCCCAGGAGGCTCTGTGTAAAGGTACAGGGCCTATAACATAAGACTTGCAGGAGCAAAACTTTTTGCCTTTCTGGTTGTTTTTCTATTTTCAAACCCCCTGGTTCCAAGAATGTTACCTGGCACATGGTAAATACTCAAAAGAATTTTTTAAATGAATAAATACACAAATTTCTTGGGGATAATGAGAATTCTTCACAAAGTTATAATCATATACTATCCTTAAGACATTGGATATGCATTAAAAATTTTTGTGGTTATTTATAATAAACAAAATCCAGAATACACATGAATTAGTGGTAATGGGGTAAATTTTAAAAAAAAAACCCTAAATAGAACTGAAATTGGGGCAGCAATATATATAGGTGGATTCCAAAAGAAGTTGCCCTGCATTAAATGTAAATTTCTAAAGCAAGAGGAAGACTAAACTGTGTGTGTTGTATGTCAGGATTTTCACAAGGGAAGTGATTTAACCTAAAAGTCTTGAATGAAATTGGGTATCCTGGAAAGGGCAATTGGGGTCCTCTGGCTTCTGACTGAAGGAAACATTCCTCCTCAAAGAAGCATCCTTGGAGGCTGAAAGATTTTTCACAACCACAAAGATAAGTTTACAATCCAAGCATTTTGTAAAAGTTAATAGATTAAAAAAACCCTCTTAATAAAATACAAATAGAAGCTCCCTTAATCAGATAAAAGTATTTGCAGAAAGCCTACAGCAAATATTCTTTAGGGTGAAATGTTAAAAGCATTTTATTTTCAACTTCTTTTACCYTAAATCTGAAGATGATGAAATGTGTACTAAGAATGCACAGTAGAAATAAATCTATCAATATATGTGAAAAACTTTTATCTAGAAAAATAAAATGTTATTCAGAGAACTGAAATATGACCTACATAAATGGATAAACACAGTTATGAATGGGAAGACTTGACAATAAAATATCAGCTATCCACAAGTTGCTCCAAATAGAAAATACAATTTTAGTTAAGATTTAACATTTTTCAAGGAACCAGACAATGTTTTTTAAAATATGTAGAGAAGAGCAAAAGGACAAGAAAGAAGTGATACTTGCTCCATTAGGTATCCAGACTTACTATAAATTCTTAATATTTAGTATAGTGAGGCGWTGGTGAGTAGATAGGCAAATGGATTAATGAGAAAGAGAGAAAAGGTCTCATACATAGAAACTAGAACACAAATGACACCAAAGCTCATTGGTGAAAGATGAGACGATTTMATAAGTACTTTGGACATAATTAGTTGCATGTGATGAGTTAATGAAGTTGGATCTTAACCTTACACACACTAAATCTAATGCCAATAAATAAAGTCTTAAATGACCTTAAGACATTTAGGGAAAAAAATACAAGACAATACAGTATTTTTATAAATTCAGGATAAGGCAGTGCTTCTTGTCATAGACATAAAAATGCTAACAATAGAGGGGAAAATGATGAATTCAACTGCATTATGATTAAGAGCTTCATTAATTAAAAGATACTTTCAAATGTGTAAAACCATATCAACTAAGGCATGTGCAACATATCTAACCCAAAAGGAGATTATTATGTAGAACATAAAAAGAATTCCTAGATAACAATCAAAATAACAATAAGTGAGCAAAAGAACAGAAATCTATGTTCAGTAATAGTAATTGGACAAATGACTCCATTGAAAACAACTCCAAATGCCTCATCTACATGCCCCATAAATAAGGAAATAATTAAAATGTACAGGTGAAATTATTTGGGCAAAACAAAAGAAAGGGGAGAGCCCATAGGGCATTTTGAGAAYGTGGAGGATTTGAAATCTCATTCTTATAGATATTGAGCCCACTGGAAACCGAAATCAAGGCTCACCAGGATAACTAGAATAAAATAATCATATAATAAAAAGCATTGGTGAGGAGGTGGGGAAATCAGAATTCTTATGACTTCTGGGAGGTGGGAAAGTAAAATTGTGTAAGTACTTCAGAAAACAATCATGAAACCCAGCTACTCCACGTCCACACACTTGCACATGCAAGTTTACAGCAGCATTATGCACAAAAGCCAAAGGGTAGACAGAGCCCAAATGTGCCTCAACAGATGAGGGATGAACAAACTGTGATATAGCCAGGTAATGGCATATTATTCTGCAATAAAAGGGGATGAAGTACTGATATGTAGCAC